CCCTTTCTGTCCTCAGTATAGTCTTTACTCTCGCTCACATATAAAAATTCACAGTGAAAAAAAAAAATCTGGAGTCCGTACCAACAAGATGCTCTGCGTAAACGACCACTCGAGTGTCCCCCTGAAGAGATGGTGCACATACATCGAACAGGCGGTGGATACTTACTGGGAGATATAAAGCCCAGGAACGAAGGGTCTCGCGTAGTGGCGTCTGACGTTGGGGAATTTCCCATTAACATCACTAACATGAAATACGGCTACTCGGTCTTAGTTCTTCCTTTATGTAGCTTCTTCGGGAATATTATGTTAAGCTCCTTCAGAATTTAATTTTGTGAAATTTGAAATTTCATAAATAAAATGTTTTAAAACCATAAATTTTATAAGTAGATGAATATATAATGTGCATATTTATTTTTTCACCTATTTATTTTTTATTTATGTGTATATTTACATATACATGTATATATGGCTGTGTGTGTTTGTGTTCTATGTTTATATGTGTTTACGTGTTTGTTACACACATGTGTATTTGTATATATATATATATGTACGCGTGCATGTGTGTATGCGTGCATGTATGTGTGCATGTATATATGTATGATGTGTTTGCATATGTATATATGCATGTACATGTGTGTGTATATATGTTTCGGTGGCTAGAGACGATGAGCAAGGAATTTTGTTCGCCATCCAGTTTCGTTTCTTCCTAGAGCACTGCGAAATTGTTTCTTTGTTCCCCTACATTTGTGGAATAGAATGTACATTCTGGAATTTGCGTTGAATTCAAAAATTTTTCTAGAAGTGCAGGAAATTTTTTTGGTATTATGATATTTTACAAAATTCTAACAAAAAACATTAAATCATAATTAAATTGGCCGTAGTTATAACGAATAAAAATGAAAAAATATAATTAAAACATAAAAAATGTGATAATTGCTTCTAATTTCCTCCACTTTTTATACGTGGCGTGCGTGAAAATTTTTAATTATTAGACATTGCATTCTTTTAAGTACAACTGTCTCAAAGGCTTCTTTAGCTGTTCTTTAAATATAATTGAATAGTTTTTTGCATGTGCAGCTGTTTTAGTGCTTTTTTTGGACCAATTTGTTTGATTAAAATTTTCCATTTGCCCATAATCATTCTATGATTAGCTTTACAGCTTCCTTGCACCTTTTCTTCCCCCGTTCTTGCTGTCCTAAGCTGTTGATAACTGGAAAATGTTGCAAGCTCCTATGCGGCTGAGTTTTAGTTACATCGTTGATGGCGGATATTCACACCGATTATCCTAGAGTTCTTGGTATTCGTGGGTATTAGTTGAATTATTAATTCTTCCCGCCTGAGATTACCATTTTTTTACACAATCCCAGTTTTATATCGCAGATTCCAGGATGCGCTTGACGAGGCCGTTGCTAAGAACTCTAAGTCAGAAATTTGTGGATAAATTGAATTATTATGGATATTTTCATCCGCAGCCGATCTCCCTGCAAGCTTACATGGATTTTGGTCGAGAAGGAACTGTAACAACATCTTACAAATTCCTGCAGAAGGAACTTCTTGTTCGACTGGCCAATATCATGAAAGTAAAGTTGAATCTTTGTCGCTCTGAGAAGTATACATTCTTAAGGTTGAGGATAATTCGATATTCCGTTATTTGGATTTTAAATAAAATAGTAGAAGAGGGACTGCACTAAGTGTCATGTGTGAGAAGACATGTTAAGATGCAGTCTGTGTTTCATCCCTTTGTTGTAAACAGAGGTCGAACTTTGCGCGCGAGTAGAAGTGGGAATCATCAGTACAGCGGTCCTACTCACCTTGTGGTGAACAGTCATGTAACTGATTTAGACGGACATACTAAAGGGGAACAGTGAGAAACGAAGATAGGTATTACAGAAGAATTAGAAACGGTTGTGAGGGGACAGTATCGCGCTTAAATGAAGTAAAGGCTTATCTTAGGTCTCAGTTTCCAGTGTTTTTTCAAATAGTCAAAGTTCACACATTTTTTAGGAAATTGATTTACTTCCGGAAAAACTACTGAGAATGCCCTCAGCCAACGAAGTACGCGACAAATATTGCCGAAGCTTCGAAGATCTGTTGCCGTTTGAAAACGCTGAGCCATCTACTGATAACATCGATGCGTTAGTTTCTTTTTGAAGATTAGATATTTACACCCAGCGTACAAGAGAACATCCCAGTAACATCACTAGCATGAGATACCCACAATAGATATGGGTATTTTAAGGAATGATCCTGAATGCTTCCATCTATTTTACAGGGCGTAAATAAGGAGGGTTCTGATTTTTGATGTTGAGGTATTTGATCAGCTGTGATAACACATTTTTACGTTATTGATATTGGTAGCAGCTTTTTCTTG